GGCCGTCATCTGTTCCGTATGGTAGTGATGTTTAATCATGGGAGATTTGTGGTGTGGTCTTCACTCACTCGAGACGAAAACCGGCCGCCATATTACGCCGGGACAAGCTCTAATCTCCCGAACTGTCTCTCCCGGCGGTGTCATAGTGTAGATGCTAGAGTATGTACGAAAGGGGTGAGGATTAGAACAAGTAGGTAGGAAAGAACGGCGCGCGGTCCGTAACTGGTTGATAGGGTACTGCGGTACTGCTCTCGCATTCACCTGGTGTTAATCGATAACAAACGGAAAACTACCGACAGGCAATAGATAGTGACGAAATTCTGCCATCGTTCGTGATCAAACTAGGACCTCCCGCGGTCCTACAATTCTTGCAAAATAGTACTGAAATAAACTCACAGTTCTGGAATTCATTTACTATTTTTTGGCAAAGCGAAAATAACATCTTTGGTTCCGACGCAACACGCATGATACGGCGCAAAATGGAGGCAAAAAGGAAATCTTAAATCTTCACCAACATGGCAACATGATGGTGGTTACGTGGTGGAACACAAAAATGAATGTTCACGTTTTTAAAGATATTTCCTCTTTAAAAGGGTTTGAAATGGGTCTGGAAATAACGCCGCTGTTTCAATATGGCCCAAAATGTTAAAGCTTTCAGCACTCAATTGTGGCTCTCTACACCAACTCTACCAAACAATTTATATACTTCCTCATTCCTTGGGAACATGTCTTGTCTGTTCTTGGAATACTCAATGGAAAATATAGAGTGACAATAAATAAAGCTATCCTACAGATAATTAAGTTTGACCATCGCGATTTCGGCTTAGATTGGTGAAATCCCTGGTGCAAAGACTGAAGGTGGCAATAATCAAGCTAATTCAAACCCTATTTGAAGCGTTTTTACGGTTTAAAGAATTTAAAGAAAAATTTTGAGTTGCTTCAGAAAAAATATAAATTTTTCTTTACTTCAAAACACAAAATTACGCAAAAATTACTATTTTAAAAACTGAACATGCCTATATTAAAATATATATGTTTTCCAATGGATTTTATGGCGAAAAAATCTGTTACAGGATTGAATTTTGGACAGAAGGTAGAATCACTATCATTTCTCATGTTAAATTCATAAAAAACTATATTTAGGCATCTTCATTTGATTCCGCTCGCTCTACCCAAAGGATCTGCAAGATAAAAAACTTGGAATTTGGAATTATTGTAGATCATTTTGAGGTAGTCAACACTCCGGAAAGGAAAACACATCCACTTATTTTATATCACGCTGTAATAGTGGGGATGACTTCAATGTTATTTCAAAGAGATTGAACATAATAATACATTATGCCTATATTTTGCATGTCCCTACACAGTTATTTTATTTATTTTATGTCAAAACACGTAAAAACTGAGTGTGACGTACTATGGGGAGATGAGTATTCTATGCACGTTTTCTTAAATTCAGAAATCCCTACCCTATCCCAAAAATAAGTTGAATTCTGAGTACAGATGAAAACAAGCATTTCTGGCCACAATTCATGATACAAAATTCGCTCCAGCGTAATGAAAATATTTTCAAAGGTAAATGAGTTATAGATTTTTGCTTTTTATCCCTCATCGTACCCCCACCGTGAAAGACCGTTTTTCGTGGTTTCTCAGATTAATAACAGGCGAATACCGAAGTAGTACTCTAACAAACGGGCCACTGACAGCATGCGATCTTTCCTTGCTCTTCCTTGTCCTGTTTTAACTTCTTGTTTGCACACACAAACTCACATGGACAACACAACCACACTTGTCGGGAGACCAGTAGAGGGCTTCAAGCTCGTCCCGGCTCTTGCCATCCAGCACCCCCACCTCCCGCGATAAAAATATGAACTCACTTACGGGACTAATGACCTTAGTAGTTGACGAGCACGGAATCTCTAGTCAATCAAGCAAAACATACAATGCGAAAAGAAGTTTTTCTTCATAATATAAAACTTCACAGTTTACACTGAAACAAGGAGCCCAAAACTTTATGCGAACTGCAGCTACTTCATTCAAGTAACCAGAGAACTTGTCATTGCAGATAACCAACTACATGCCACCGTTTACTACCGTCAGCAGACGAAAACTAAATTTTGTATGAAAGAGACTCGGATCACCGTTTTGTGACGCAAGGCCTAAACGTGAAGCATGTTTTAATGTTGTTCTGAGCATTGAGGTCAAGGTTGAGCCATACAAGAGCATCGGCAGTAGCTCGATCGCGTTGGGCAATTCCAGAAACCAGGATCCTTCTAACCAGGAGCTACCAACTCTAAGGTTGGTGGAGAGACATGCCATCTCTCTGAGGTCGTGACAAATCCCGCCTCATGTTCCCAAAATCAGTGGCCACTTGTCGTTATGGGCCGGAATACATGAGGAATGTACGGGGCTAGAAGTTCCTCTACTGACAGCCGCCCCCCATTGTGCCCACGTTGGCACTTGCAACGAGATGCTCAGAAACCGAGTGGGTGTTTTCAGTCCTTCAACAAGACTGGACTCAAGGTCCCACCCCCCACCCCTGCGGGGATGTAAGGCCAGCAAACAGAGCGCCGTTCCCAGACAAGTCTCTATCAGCGGAAGAACTTCTGACACACGCATCGCAGCGCCGGAAGTGCAGCTATTGCGTAAGACAGTTTTCTACTTTTTTTGTATAATTATCTTATTACATGGCTACAGCACTTGGCAGAATGATAGTCTTAACAATGCAGCTTTATTATAGTTCACGTCACTTTAAACAGTAATGAGTCCTTGACAGGTTCCCTTTCTCTTCTATTGTATCACATGTTATCCTTTCTTCCCGACCTTTTCTCCTCTCTCCATCTCCACTGTCCGTTTCCCCTTCCCCATCGTTCCTATACTTTCCATTTACTTCTCGGAATATTTGTTGCACTTTGACAGCGGACTGACGACAGTTGATAAGACGGTAAACTGTGCGTACTATTATATAGATGTAGAGGAAATCATTATTTACCCTTTGTGAAAAGAGAGCTTTCATTTCACCAATCTCATTTATCTTGGTTAAAATTATTCTATAAAAGGTAAGCTTAAAACATATGTGTTCTGTGTAACTGTCCTTTTAATTGTTATATTAATTTTCATCTAGTTGTTTTCCCTAAGATATATCATTTCATGTTTTCATTGTTCAGTGTTTCAATACAATAAAACATTATTGAATTTCATAATTTTAATTATACTTATTGAAATGTATTGCAACCTGATGATGAAGAGCAACCCCTTCGGATCCTTTTAATAACTGAATAAATTTGGCTGAATAATTTCTTACCTAATTGTCTCTAAAGTAATGAAAAAACGTAACAATTGTATCAATAGGACAGTCACATTATAACATTAAATTATAGTACAGGAGTTTGAGCAATCACAGAAGCTAATAGTTGGAAACTAATTAATCGTTGATCGTCATTCTATTAAATGTTCCGTTGGATTGTATAAATTAATGAGCCGAGGCAACCTGTGTGGTAGAGACGACAAACCGCACAATGTCTCCCCCGTTATCAAAACTCGGAAGAAAATCAGAATACTGATGCCCCCTATAGGAACTGTACTTAATAGTTATTATGAATATGATAAGAAATAAGAACGTATACTGAACTTTGATGATATTCCTTTATATAGTGAAACCTGACGCTGCTCTGTTGAAGTTCAAATGTGTTTAAGCCAAGAGAGCACGTAGAACTCCTGGCTGTGTGTTTGGTTGCGACAGCTGAATACTGCGTGAAAGATGTCACGTCTCTGTTCAATATAAATACTTATATAATACTATAATCACTAGTAGAAATTGTACAGTATGTAAATCGAAATAATTTATGTTAATAATCTCGTATGCAGGTCACGACACTCCCTCGTATCGAAATATAACTTCACTTTTGTGTATTATTTCCCAACATTACTTCATAATATAATAGTCATGGAATGAAATACCTCCCAAACAAGAGATACAATGGCGCATGTCACAACTTCAAAACTGTTTTAAACCAATAGTTGTTTTTAATTCGATGATGGCAAGCACAGACGCAACTATAAGTAAGAGAGGGGAGCAAGAAAATATGAAAAAGAGCGGAAGGGAAAATTAGTACGAGGACAAGATAATATGAAAAGAAGAGAAATGAAATATGAGAATAAAAGAATATAAATATGAAAGGATATACATCAAATTTGAGAAGACAACTGAAATATGAGAAACATGAAAAGAATAAGAGAGCAAAACCACAATTATTAGCACGAGGAGGAAGAGGAAATAATAAAGAGGAGGAGATAATGAAATCAGGAAGAGGAAAATTAATGGGATGGAAATACAAAGGCAAGGCGAAAAATTAATGAGTGCAAATAAAAATAACAGTGAAATTTAGCAGCTAAAATGACATGTAGCAACAAAATCACAAAAAAAAGGGTTTTCCCAACAGTAGCAAACAAGCACACTGATCGAAAACAATAAATAAAATACTCTCTAACAACACTGCAATGAATTATATATTGTAACTAAAGCAGACTTCAGGAATACTGCTCTAACATATATATTTATACTACAGTTATTAATACACCAAGAATATACAAAAATTGCTGTTCGATAATGCAAGAGGAAATATTAATGACGGAGGCTTCTTCAATGCACTCGCATGACATCAGCTGTGTCAAAAGGAGGGCGCACTGGATTTGAGAATTCAATCGACACGTGCAATACGAGAATATACGAAATAGCACAGCCAAATATTTGCATTTGTCAGAAAACATTTTTTTAGCCTCTCTCCTTCCCTAACTCCTCATAAACTCTCTATTGACATCAGTGGCGGCTCGTGCTTAAGTTACACAGTTGTAAAAGCCCCAAATAATCGAAAAATATCATATAATACGTTATAAATATACATTTCTCTTTTAATGAATTCAATATTCATAATATTACAGCAATATGGATGTAAATTAAATAATTTTGAAATCAGAGAACGCCCAACCAGCGCTCTCACCGACGAGTGGTGTTCTCCGAGGTAGTGCACCTTCCCACGCTCTTGGCTCCAGAATTGAATTTACTCTTTGGCCCTGTTCTTCGACAAGCTTCAACGGGGCCTTCTGTGGCGCAACCAAGTGGGTGGGGGTCTTGTTGTCGACTGCTGCGCCAGCATAAAATTCTGTAAGTAATATTTCAATACTGATTTTTATTAACCTAATATAACCTAAATTTATATCATTACATGATTAGCTCACATTTAAGAAATAAGTGTCTAATTATTGAGAAATTACATTCCGTTCATATACGACGAGCTGGCAAAAAGCTGCCTTAATTGACGATTTTTAATTTCGAACTTGGAGTTTGGTTGGCGCCGAAGAGGCACAGTCCCCATAGCTCAGACGCCCACTTGACGTGACGGCGCAGCACGGAAGAAAGCGGAGTGATGAAGAAAAGCGCAAGGAGGGGTGAGGGAGAGAAGGGGAAAAGAAGGGACCAGTGGAGGGAGAGCACCATACGCGCAAACCAAACGCTAGCATTGCCCCGCTCAACTGCGCAGTCCAGCGACAAGTCGGTTCCGACAAAGGAATTCCAACCAGGAACACTCACAACACGGAAAGCAAAAACACGGTCACCGGGCACCGGAACTGAACAGATCACGAGCAGGTAAAGCAGCACGACATATTGAGTTCGAGGACATTGATTAAACTAAAGATTCCGGCCCGCGTCAGCTACCTAAGCAATCAAAATAGCCCCATTAAGATAATAGTACAATTTTTATCGGGGAGATGGCACGTGAATCTGCCCCCCGACTGGAAAAATGCAAAAAGGAATCCGAAGCTCACGTCCCAAAGTATGCAGAGTATTACCACAACACAGAAATCTACCCACAGCAGGAAAGGATAAGCACCCAGCCGAGACAAGCTAATAAAGCTACCCGCAAATGAATGTGTAGAATGTAGTGCCACTTAGAATAAGTGTGTGTGTAAGATCGTAAAGTAATAGAATGAAAAGAAGAGAAGGAAATAACGACGCACGATCACGTTAACCCGCTTGTATAGAGGTACTGCTTCCAAGCATCAATTAAGTGCTGATCAAGAAAAATCAAAGGAAAAACTATAAGCATACAGAAGCAGTAATAGGGCCGCTAGAATTCTTACTCCGAAGGCATGACCTATCTGCCCAGACACTATCATACAAATCATTGTATCGAAAAAATAACCGACAGATCGGTACCTACAGACCCTAGGACCATTCACACGTCAAGGACCACTGCAGTAGACCGATGGCACTGCAGTGAAACTGTGCCCATAGAGCCACCTACGCCAGTCAGGTGATTAGGTCTGAAATTAGTATAAATTACCGAAATATATCTTGTATGCTGCTAATGAACAGTCATCGATCAGTCGCTTCCAATGACTAAAGACTTCAAATTATAATTAGGTCACCAATCAGACTAACTCATTATGTAATTATATATCTATTTGAGACAACAATGGCTTGACTACGAAGAACATGTAACTACTGTTTCTACTTCCACAATTCACGACGGATTATAGACTGTTTGAAACATAAGGAGCGTTTTTCGATGAACTGTTTTCGAATGATTCTTTTGTTTTAGAAAATAGCTCTACTGACACAGGACACCAGCCGGTATAATCGTAATTCAATATTGAAATAATTTAACAAATTATCAAATATTTAATTTCGAAGAAACAAGTAAAACAAACCATAATTTGGGATCAATCGAAATTACAGGAAAACAATAACCAAACATGATTTATATGCAAGGGCGATCCACAGACAACTATTAATAATGAGAGGAGAAATTCATAATTGTTATTAGGTCGAATAGGCGATCATCTGAAAGATTAATTGAAACATTGTCAGCCAAAGCTAACACTTACAGGTATCATGATGACCCACTACCATTTATTCGATTTTAATGATAATCCGAGAAAACTAATTTTACATAAAAAAAGTTAATCGTACAAGTAAATATAAATAAAGTTACTGAAAAAATGTTAGAGAGAATATATCCTCACTTCCCATCCCCGATTGATCCGCGCACATATTTAATACGTAATGATGTAAAACAGAACAATAAAACAATAAATACATAGTATCGTATTACTGTTTTCTTGGATAGTATTGATTGATCTGAAGAAAAAATTGATATGTAATTTACTGAATTCAGACTGCAAGAAGTCAATAATCCGTACAATAACCAAACAGATATGTTTTCTATAGTGTTTATAGAAATCTACAAAAATATTAAAATCTTCCAATTAAGTAAATAAATTATGGGAAAGATAAAGTGTAAACTCACAAAAGTTCGATTTAATGTCGAGAAATAAGGAAAAAAAAAGTCTAACAAATATCGAAAAGGGAGATACGGAGGAGAAACTGGAAACATATAGTCAGAAGACAAAAGTCATCATAATCTAAGAAGTTTTAGGCTCCGTTCCGAAAATATTAATTTCGCAACAAAAACCAATAACTCCGCCTGCAATTTTTACAATTTATCAATGGCATTATTACAAAAGATATTACAGTGTGACTATCAAAAAAATATATTAATGACTAGACACAGTAGATAATTACAGTACAATGAATGATGATATAGAAACAGATTTTATTATTTTTATTACAAATATTATAAAATATATACATAAGCTTTAAAATTTACGTCTTAAAGCATAATTGAAAATAACTATTCAATCTATGAAAAGCCTTACGTTCGTTAGTAATTTAGAGGTCATTGTTATGTCAGATATAGACATAGTCAACATATCAGCAACTAAATAGTAATAGGAGAAAAGGTTGTAGTTAAATTCGGGGTCGGAGACTGACAGATCAAACTGGATACTCAACGAACGGCAAAACTGACAATGCTAAGGTCACAAAACAGAAACAAGCAGCAAGCAGAAACTGCAATAAAACTGGCGTACAGGATATATTCAATTAGTCACATCATTTTAGGATTAGCGAGACACAATGCATAGCCTAGCGAACAGCCCTTTCCAGACCTACTCGTACGGGGAGTATTCGAAAGGAAAAATATAGTCCATACCGATATCCTTTCTTCAAATTAACCAAGTTTCAACTATAGAACCTTCGAGCCAGAGAACTTTCCCCATCTTAAGGCAAATAGAAAGAGAGCACTAATAGGTACAAACCATTCAGCTTTTTCTTAATTCATAGTATTAAGTAAGCGGCGAGGAATTTCCGAGGGTCCATCTCAGCTACCCTACCCCTAGTTAAGCCCTGCTTTAACACGGTCTTTATTTACATCACTTTTTCATCGCGATTTTCCGATACAAGGAAGTGGATGAAAAAGAGATTTAGCTTCTACGCTTTATGATTCGGGACCGAAAAACTGGATTGAACGTGATATCAAGAAATTTACAAGAGTTTATTCTGGTTTTTAGGAACGTAATCGATCAATTCTCAATAGACTTAAATAAAGTTTAGATTAATAATTGCCGACTGCAGCACCAAACCAGGCGAAACATTAGAACACAGATACATAATTAATTCTCATAAGCACATAAATCAACTTCAATTACAATTCAACACATTAGAACACACTCCGAAACTTACAAATGAACAAATCAGCACCACACACATAACAAACCAGGGAAAGAAAAGGAAGCCAGCAGCGGGTAGTCAACTGATGACAATCTCTACCGAAAAATTGAAGCGTGCGTCAATTTTTCGGTACAAATTACTTCCAGTCCCGTCTGTCTCACTTTCTTACAGGCCAAAATAGAATGAAAAAAGGGATATTATGTAAAAATAATGTGTAAAACAGGCTACAAGTGTATCTCTTTAGGTAAGAAGATTTACTTGTATTGCCAACGAAAGCGCAGGCCGAGAGAGAAGGACTCAGAAAATAAAGACAGGGGACAATAAAGGCAGTTCTTTTTTAAAAATTTATGATGTTTATATTTTTTATCTTCTCTTCCCCCCCCTGAGG